ACTCAAACGACTTTGCCGTTATTTTCAATTCCAAACGCGATGTAACATCGCGCGTTTGTCGCGGATTTGAAAGGCATGATATATGTATGTATATATTACATATGTATAATACGCGATGTATATATGACAAGGATAATGATTGAAAGGTGATAATTACATGCTGAATTTCATACGAATGCCTAACATTCGGTAAAATCGGTAAAATTACGATTTTGCATGAAATATTATATTAAAAAAAATTTCTGTGTAAAAAAAAAATCACAATATATTATCCCTATGATTCTATTTCGTTCAATAATCAAAATTATTCTCTCGTTATTATTTTACGAGTATTTTATCATATATATTTATTTTAGTTTTATATATTTGGAGTGTTATAAAATATATGAATGTACTTTTTTTTTTCAGTAAAATTGCAACTGTTCTCGCGCACGTATATTGTTAATGCGTACGAGATTGGACGCAATTTTAATTGAAAAGTTCAAGAGTTAATCGCCGCGTATCTTCGTGATGAATTCTCGAAAATAGAAAAATGAAAAAAATGGAAGTCGTGTTGCAAGATTTATCGCACATCCGAGTATCTTCGATACTCACGCCACGAGTAACAATGGATTACAGTATCTTTACTGATCATGATGCATCCTGCACCTATGTTTAATATCGAGACTTATGAATTATGTAAATAACAAGAAAATCTCTCATCGAAACTGAGAATGCCAGAAATGGATCCGCGCTTTTTTCTTTTTTATGATATATAAACTGATTTAATATACAAGTTTTATTTATTCCCCTCTGTTATGACATAAGACAATTTAATTTACATTTTATGTTATTAAAGTATTAGTGGATATTAATGAGAAACGAATTCATGGTAATTTTCTAATAGATTTAATATATTATATATATTTATTACTTAATCATTGACAGACCAAGTCGCACGTTTAATGATATTTGAGACCAAAATGCATTTTATACAAAATAACAATTAAATCACGCAGGAATCAACGATAGAGCGCATAATTAATTTAAATAAGAGATTCACGATATTATACAAAATTTAAATATCAAGCATATTTGGCATATTTAAAAGATTACGAGTTACGAATAAATAAATTATGATATATGATTGGTCGACCGCGTGGGTGGCAAAGGCAGGTGCGCCTGTCCAAAAAGGAGAGTAGCCTCTTCGCATTGGTCCATCCGTGGTTTCCATGGACGCGAATAATCGATCTGTTCGCCGCTGACGTTTGTCTCTTCCACAGAGCATGCTCCAATGAAACTCGGCTTTCCTCGGTCGAGACATTGCGTAATCGTGTTACATAATATATGCACTACGTCTAAGATGTGTAAAACAAAGTAATACTTCAGCAATTGAAAAAGCTGAGTTTTAAGCTATCTTGAAATTGATCCTGAGAGTCAGGAGAATTATATCTGATGATTTTTATTATCAAATATAATAATAAATGCGCATTATGATTGAAGGATATATATAATTCTGAATTTTTTAAAAACAATTACTGTAATTTTTATAGCGCAATTCAGAATATATATTGGCAATTAATATTATTTATAATATTCATTATAATCTCTCTTAATACACACGAATAACAAAATATTCATTTACTGTCATATTATTTACGTTAATTATTAATTTCGTTATTGATATACTTGTCATTTAATTGCACGAGTGCACACGTGCTTCTGTGTATACTAGATTACATTATTATTCTTCAACCCTATTTATGTAACGTTTCGACTCGATATGTTACATTGAAATTTATTCGTAATTTAATTTTGCCTCGTATAAACCCAGCTGTGCGGACGATCGGATGCGCCGACCGATTTTGTTTCGGGCTTGCTGTCAGATCGCTCACAGGTAGCCTGACTCCGTATTACGTTACCCGCTCTGCACTCGCTCGATTGCGCCCGTTCGCTCGCGCTGCCGGCTGGACACGTCACCTGACTTTAAATTTGTTTCGAATTAATTGAACTCGAGGCGTCTCTCTTCGCGGAATAATGCACTCATCTCGCGCGCGCGCGCGCGTGCGGCCGTCATTCATTAAGTAAAATTGATAACAGTTGTATCGCGAGCGCGCCGAATTACTGTTGAATATTGTTGAAATACGCGAGTCGAATGAGATTCTTTTTTGGACGGAGCGAATAATAAAGAGCACAATTCCTTTATCCAGCGATATAACTCTTTCACATTAAATATTTTAGTTATAATTTGTTCGATTTTTTGACGAATTAATGCTGATTATAAATGAATTAGTGAGTGATTGATTTTAATTTTACTAATTAATCCTGAAATCACAATATATGTTTACGTTTCGAAAAATTATACGTTGCGGTGAAAATATTTGAGCGAACACGGTCGTTTTTTTAAATCCCCTGATACATAACTTGATACATAACTTTCCCGTGCAACTTCGTACTTTCGTCCTAACGTTTTGGCAAACTGCTTCGCCAATTCTACTCATTAACTATGTTGCGCCGCCTGCAACAAAGTGCACGCTTAAATTACTCGCCGCGAGTATCAGCCGTCAACGGCGAGAACTTGGCTCGTTAATGTGGTCGGGAACGACGTAGACCAAGTTCTAAGTTCTGCAACACCCTTACACGGATTAAGTAACGCTTCGTAGATGTATACGCTTCTACCTTCGGATGGACGGTATTGTGCAACGCGATGATTGCGTTCTACACTTTATAAATGACAGCGTACACGCGATAATGCGCATGCAATATGATAATTCCATGTTATTTAATAGAGCGCAGATAGACGAATATAAAATACGCGTGAATAATCGCCATGATATTATACGCAAATGAAACTCGTGCGTCTTCTTTACTCTTTACATTACAAATTATGATTGTGTCTCTTACGAATGCATATCTCTGTTTAAACACTAATAATAATATACATATACATATATATCGTATTTTATATTTAATTAGAGATAAATAAAAACACATCTCGAAATTTCAATCGTAATCTGTTTTGCAATGTGAAACGCAGTGGAGATCTTTTTTGGTTATAAAAAATTGAAAAAATTTTTCTGAGAAAATAATTATACAAATTATATATATCGAAATCGGACATGAACAGAAGTAGGATCTACGCATCACGAAGGTTGCTTCCTATTTTTAAGAGATCAAAAAGACCGCTTTCCGATTTTAAAAACGCCATATCGGTAAGAGCAATATTAATTTTATGTTTCGTTTTGATAAATTTATCTGGTTTAAGTTAAATGTATCAAAAATCCGAAGAATTTTTTGAATAACTTCTCTCTCTCTCTCTCTCTCTCTCTCTCTCGTAGATTCGTGATAATAACGCGAGGAAATTACAATACCAGTTTCGCTCGATTCTTGATCAATGGAGAACGGCCAGGATCGAACATTGTTGGATAGAAGTTTGTGTTCCACGCGACTCCTCTCATCAAAACAGAATCAGAATCAATCAACTGTCACATCTCGATGCCAGGTAAACATTAAACCTCATTAATGCGAAGAGCAATCTTCTCCCATCGAGATAAAAAAGGTCTTATGATTCATGAGTGTAGAATTTTTTAATTTATAATTCGTTTGTATGAATTATAATTATTCTGCAATTATAATTATAATACACAGAGTGAATTTTGGAGTTCGCTGCAACAGACCACGTCCGACGATAGCGCGAAAGATGGTGATAGATTCGCAAGGGAGGAACATTCCGTGGAACATCACGAGACTTTGAAGTTCGCGTTTCCCAAGAAGGTCAAGGCTCATGGAAGAAGAAAAGCGAACGCCAGCAAGCGTAGAGTCACGTTCGCTGATCATTAAACTCGTTCGCGCGGCGAGCATTGCATTACATTACAATAAAAACTGCAGCGAATGCAGATATTGTATTACATCCATTCGTCCGATGTCTGATCAGATTTTCCCGCGTAATAAGATTTTTCGATCAAAGGTGCGAGACCGGATAATGCAGTTTCATCGTCAGAAAATTCTGTAATCTCTGATATTTGTGTTAAACGATATGTTCGTGGCCCACTGATCATTAAAGGAAATAGATACGAAATTATCATCATTATTGTTATTTATTACATGAATTATATTTTTATTTATATCATTATATAATTTGAATACCATATTTTATTATTATGTCGATATATATATATTGTTTGATATCCGCGAGATCAATCGCTTGATCGTCGATTGTCAGACGCAATGTCACTTTTCGAACGATCTGCTAAAGCTTCAGACTATTCTTGACATTTGCAAGAAAATTTTCCGATATTTTGATTCTTCAAAATTTCAAGTGGAATTTTATACTATTTTAAAATTAAATTTATATGATTAAGCAAGCATGAACGGATTAAAAATATGGGCATTACAAGATCTATCACACATGCTGCCCGCTAAATACCTGCAGGTATATTCATCAAAATTTCAACCTTGCCAGTTACAATTAATAAAAATTAATTGTTTGATTATCAATAATATATAACATAATATTAGAGAGAGACAGAGAAAAAAGAAATGTTTTAATAATACAAAACTTTAAAAAATTTTGGTACAGTTTGTATCCATTTTTAAAATTTAATTTGACATTTTTTTTCACAAATTATATATTGAAAATAATTAACATTATGTGTAAAATCTTGCATTTTTTTAAATCAATCTACAAATCAAAGAAATATATAAAGACAAAGTTAATAATATAGGTTTTTCTAAATTATGTAAAAATATGCATTCTTAGATTTGGTAACATTTTTATTCTCGAAATAAATTAGCATGAAACACACGTATCCACGAGCATGATTAAACGTCGCTTTTGGAGCTTATTCGACTCTTCCCGCAAGGAAAAAAATACTCGTGAAAGCAGGAGAATCAATTCATTAAGACTTTCCAACGGTGTGAAATCCATCTTTACGACACAGATAACTTCATCTGAAATCGCGGCGATAATTCTCAGTACTCGCTCGCCCATACATTTTTTAAATTTCGAAATGTGTACGAAGATGAAGCATCCGAAAGCATTGATAGATGTAACCTCAGCTGGTGATTACGGCTTTATACATGGCGACAGAAATGTGATTACTAATAAAGTCTATTATGGTGATCGCGCTTCACAAATAGTTTCCACGCTTCAAGAAAGTCAAGAGCCTGTAATTGATGATACGATCGGGCAAGTACGGACTGATAATTTATCGACCAGTATCGCTTCGAGAAACGTAGATTCTCTGCCCCCTGTAAAATCGGAATCAAATACACCGGAGATTAATCAGCAGCAATCACGAGATCGGTTCAAATTACTGAATGATCAACATTCACAAGAATATGACATATCGTCGCAATCTCCGGAATTGCAAAATTACACGCAGGAAGATTCTGTTTCGAATACGACGGATCGACTTCAGCAGCAATGGCGGATTACTCGGTGCATCCCTCAAACGCTTGCGATCACTTCCATGAAGCAGCCATGTTCTCGTCGCGAATATCACACGTGGAAAATGCCCGAAATAGAAAATCACATAAAATGCTATGGATTATCTCGATTCGATGGGTTGACTTGTTCCGGAAGTTCGAGCAATCAAGGGTCTCGACATTCTCCATTGTGTCTATCTTCTGTACCACATCGCCATTTTTCCTCGAAAAGTTGCATCGTGGTTCAGAATTCTGTTCAAAAAATCGAAACTTCGAAAAAGGGTTTGTTTAGCCCGCGAAGCATGCGAGACGCACATCCAGGTGCTTTAAAATTTTAGATAATAATTGATTTTTGAAACTTACAATTTAAATAATCTTTAATTTGAAATGATATATGTATACATGGAATATATTCAATCCAATTTTTTTCATAGATTTAATTTTTCTAGATATATATATAAATTAAGATGAAAAATGACACCTAATGAAAATAAGCATATTATAACACATTTAGCTTGTAATTAATGTCAGAGATTTGAACAATCAATGATTACCGATCACAGGCCGCGTGTCCCTGACAAAACTGCAATCATTTTCTTGCGACGCTTCGAAAAAATCCTCCGAAGAGAATGATGAGTGTAAATCGCAACGAAAACCGGCACGCGAAGTTGAGAACGACGACTGTGGCACGCGTTCTCGGAAGGTCGCGAAAAATCGTTGCCGAGACGAAAACGAGAAGAAGTGCGGAAAAACTCAACAGAAAGACGTCTGCGGTCGGAATAGCCGCGTCTCGTCTCGAAAAAGCACGACGTGTGAAAAAGAACAGGAGAAGGAATCTTGCAAACATAACACATGTCCCGAACTGCTGATACGGCAATGCAATTGGGAGAGGGAACTGGACGAGACTGGTCAAAAGCGCGACGCGAAAGAACGAGCTACGCAATCGAAAGATCCTAATTGTTCGCAAAAAAAGGACATTGACACGAGATGTTGCCAAAGTAAAGCGGAACAGCGTATAATTACTTTTTTATATTGTTATAGTATCGTAGTTGCTTTAATATCCAAACTTAATTTGTACGCGATGCATCGCGCGCACGCAGAATATTTTAAATTAATATCTTAAATTCCTACAGAGTAATAGATAAAAATTATTATTGCTTTTATCATTATTCAACTTCAATATGAACTATATATTTATTTGTACGTCTCTCCAATTTTTCTGTTGTTCTCATTTTCGCCTATTGTGCGTGCCTATATATCTTTTATTATTTTATTTAATAATTTTTCTTGTCTAAAATATGCATCTTTAACTCTTTGATATATCGATCATCAGGACAACGATCGAAATCGTGCACAGGACGCAAAGATTACGAGGAACCTTCGCGCGTAGCTTGCAAGAATTCATCAAAAAGAAAGAATGATTGTCGCGAATCGAAATCCAATGAGAAGCGATGTGCAAAGTCACTGCCAGAACGATGTGCCGAGTATAACCCAAAGCGATCCGAAAGCGGTCGGAAAAGAAAATCTTCTCGGGTCAGCGATAAAAACTGCGGCAAGATAAACGAAAAACGGCGTTACTCGCAACAATCAATTTTCTCCGTTCCGCGAGATCATAGATCTTTCTCCACCTTGATTCCCGATATCGTTCTCGACACGAACGTGAGAAAAACGACGAAGGCACTTTACTCTAGCAGCGAAGACGAGAAGAAGGATCTGAAACAGAGCTTGTCTTGCGAGGAACAAAAGAGAAAGTGCGGGACCACAAAAAAAGATGAAACTAAAAAAAAATGTGTGAAAGGCCCAGCCAAGTGCTTGTCGAGAAAATCGATCGTCGACAAGATGCAGATCTGTCAGTCTACGCAAAAAGATCAAGACAAAATGTTACGCGAACCCACGCAAAAATCCTGCGATCACACGGAATACTGTTCTAACAGAAAGTTGGAATATATTACAAAAGGTAAGTAAGTTCTACGCCTCGTAAATATATTTTGTGTGTAAATTCGAATTATAAATTTTTAATTCTCCTTTTCTATTTATACAGATTTTTAATTAATTTCAATTTTTTTAATTTTTCTTTGCAGACAAAGAGCCGAAAGAAAAATTGGCGAAAGAACAGCTATCAAGTACCGGAAAAGGTAAAAAGTCTATAAATTCTTAATTATCTCTTTATATTATCATAATTTACACGCAAAAGAAACTTCATATTAAATTACTAATTAATTTTTATTTTATTTTTCTTTGCAGATAAGAAGCCTATGGAAGAATCAATAAAAGAACAAATAGAACGCGAATATAAAGAGATAGATGAATGCAAAAAGATTATAGAGCAGATTAAAGTTAAAGAGCCAAAAGAGAAAAAGGATAAGATACCCAAGAAGACTGATACAGACTACAAACCAACGGGTTTAGATCGCGTAATCAGTCCATGTAAACAAGAAGATATAAAAGATACTAAAAAGTTTATAAGTACGCCGAATGAGCCATTTTTTTCTAATTTTATGGATACCGCTTACAAAATGCTGCGCGTTCGATCTAATATCATTAATGGCGAGATTCCAATCATCCCCAAGTTAGTATTTTAGCTTAGATTCCACTTTTATAGTTAACTATGTCTTTAGAATTCAAAAATCAATAAACTCAGAGAAAGAGAAAAAATAAAAAAAAGTATATATATGTATATTAAATATATAATATAATTTTTTGCATTAAAAGATATTATATACATATATATTCTCTTATTCTAATTTCTGGTTTTATAATTAGTACCATAGGAATTATCCACAATTGTTGCAATTATTCATATTATATTGCAACTATTTGCGATCAATAATCCATTATTGATTACAATAATAAATTATTTCATACCATGCAATTACAGAGATATCAAACTGATGAATATAATGTTTGATCGATCATTCTCTACCACAAAAGTGAGTTATCAGAATGATTTTGCTGTCAAACGAACTACGGGTCATAGTAAAACGGTTCAGAATTGTTCTGCAAATAATAGCGATTTTATTCACGGGGATGAATTGCCGAATTATGTCGAAACAGAGAATGACGATGAAGAAGAGGACGAGTATGATTGGATCATTGGTCGACCGACTTCCGGAATCAATTGAATCGTAACTTCAAAGGTCAGAGCAAATTATATATTAATATATATACATTTAAAATTAAATATATAATGTAATTACAATTTTAATATAAAACATTTAATATGCAAATAATATAAAAATTTGTCGTTTATTAAATATAAAAATTTATTATATTTTGTGCATTTCATAATAATATATTTGAAAAACGTAGCGGTGACTTGCGATAAAAGATAAAATACAGACAAAATTTGCATATCGCGTAGTTTGAGTATCTACGTTCTCTCTTTCCTTTCTCTTTCTTGTCTCAAAAACTTTAAAAATATTTATATTTATTTGCTTGAAATATTACGACACTTGTAAGCGCACGATTCTCTCGTGACGAAAGAATATAAAAATATTTTTCCATCTACGAATATATATAATAGTATTAAAAAAATATATATTTAACGAAAATATCTTGATCAATCAAAAAATATGATCCGTCTGGTCGTACGTACGATAATCAATTATTCTGCGATACGACTTGCTCGAGCCATCTTGCCCTAGATAGAACAGTTAATCGAAAGATGTTCCCCGATATCACTTAACCCTGTTTCGTTATAGACGGTAACTCAATTATTCTCCGACTCGGACGAGCATTCAATTATTCCCCGAAAGAGACGGACGCGAAACGTGGTGCGAGCAACGCACCTCACCGGGGTGTTTCTCGCGCCTTCACGAGATGTCTTTGTAGCACGACGGAGGCGTGAATGGCGCGGTGGGCCAGGAGGCCCAATTACGAGTTTATTCAGTCGTCGCCACGGGGCACCGCGGTGCCGCTCGTAGTCACCTACCTGGCGCCTGTCCCTTTATCTCTAAGGTAAGAGCGAGAAAGAAGAGCACGTCCCGAGTGAGTGAGGCAGGGAAGGGGGAGAGGGGCAACGTTGAAACGCGGGAAGGAGGGTAGAGAGAACGTGAGGACGTCTCTGCGGGATTCCCGCCGCCACTTATGGGAATGTGATACGAGCTTTTCGTCGGATGCTCTCTTGCGTTTTCGCATTGTTACGCAACCGTCCTTCTCGCGTCCGCGTCACCCTCGTGCACCCCGACAAAGGGAATCAATGTCAATGCGCGCTGCGCCTTGCCGCGTACACAGGACAACGGGAGAATGCGAAGAGGGAACGCCGAAATAATGATCGCGAGCGTGTAATAAGCGCGCAAATGCGTGTGAATGCAAACCGAATCGGACGTATGTTGCGTTGTAATGACTGAGCGAGGCATCGAGAATTTACCTTTCCAGTTGATAAATTTTTAATTCATTCGATAATAAAATTCTTATCATTTTATTATCACGTCGTGAGACTTTCGAGAAATTGCTATATTTATTATCGCATTTCTTCATCACATAATATTAATCGCACTGTTTAATTCTAATCAATTTTTAATTAATTAAGGCTATACTTAAAATAAGTAAGATATATAATACTTTTATATTCCTTAATGAAAATTTGGTCGCGTTGTGTTATCAAGTTCTATTTTTGCTCTTCTAAGATAATTTTTGCCATGCTAATATCATGCAATCAAATTGTGTTAAAGAAATATAAAATCATTTTATACGCATTTGCATTTGTACAGCTATATACTTTTTGAAATTGATTTATCTCAGTTCCTTTTTTTTTATTCATTTTTTATAAAGCTGTTTACATCATGTTCAATCAGATAAGCAAAGTAAACTGACGATAAGTACGTCGGAATGATTACAGATCGTCGCGAACTTGTCCCATCAGCAAGATCGAGCGGTTGTTTCGGTGGCTTTTTAGGGTGAACCGGGAGAGTCCCTCAGACATCACATTATGGTGTCAACGACTTCATCGTGGACCACAAACCGCTGGCATCCGTGTATCGGGAATGAATGGCGACGCGCCACGGGTGGCAGGGGGGTGCGTACAATCCGAATAAAATGTATCAATTCCGTCATCGTGATGCCGAGCTTCCTTTCCTGGAGATTCGATTGTGCGCTTTTCGGAGGAAGGAAATCTCACGCAACGGACATTCTTCTATTATTATGCGACGAGCAACGTGTGATACACATATTGCTAAACTCCGTATATAATTATAAAACAAAATAAATATATAGGGAAGTATATAAATTGTATAACGAACGAGAATGTTAAACTAAATATCAAGTGCAAGTAATATACATTTTTATCTAGACAATTATACATATACATATAAAAAAAAAATTATATCGTTTTAAATCTCGAATATATATTTATTAATAGTATTAACGAGGAAGAATATGAGATTATATAAAGATTACTCTTGCATGCGATAGTCGGTCTGAAGTATACTGCATCCGTCGGCGCTGCACTGCCGTCGGTGCATCAAGATCGATGCAAGATTCTTTTACTATACGGTTTCTCCAAGTCAGATCTTCTTCAATAAATTTTGCTTTTGATCGCGTCGTTCAATGCATCGAATTAACGGCTCTGTAACGTAATGCACGATGCAAAACTGCAAACGGGAAACGTCAAAGTCGACGGACAATTCAAAAGGAAAGATTCTTTTCCCGACATGTTCGCGTTCGTCTTTTCTCAAGTTCCAATGTCGTCGGCAGCAAGGGCCGCGGAAAGGGCGGAAGGGTTCCACACACGTGGGTCGACAGTCGAAGAACGTCAATCCCACGTCAGGCCCTGCTTCGCAGGAAGATTCGTACAAACCAAACGGCATTCTTCTCTCGAGTGCTCTAGGTATATGGAAAAATCTGTCACACATGCATTATTTTAGGCTTGTTTTTCCAAAAGCGCCTACGCCGTCTGAGAAAACAAGGCGTCGCGACGTTTTCCTGCTTGCGCCACGTGATTCTTCACGCTCGTTGCGACTTGCGCGATTTGCCCCGATGCATGGTTTCAATAGAGAAACTGCAAGTTCTATTATATGATATTTTAAGGCCAGATCTGTATTTTGAAAACTTTGAGCTTTTAGAGAAATTTATTCTAACAACAAACCGCGCAGAAAATCTTATTTGAATAATATTTCATTAATTTTTGCGACACACTTATTTTTATAATTTATTTTTATAATTAACCTCGTAATCGAGGTATCTTTCCTAGGAAATTCAAGGAAATAATAATAAAAGTTAGTTTTTGCCTTCATTTTCCACTGATCTACGCGTTACAAGATAAAATTTTTATTTTGACTTTCAGTTGGAAAAAAAAAACAAAAGATTAAAATATACTTTATTAAAATTTGTATCCAATTTATTTTAATTTCAATTTCTTTCCAGAATTTCTAGAACATTCAAGAATCAATGTATCTTTTAGTCTTATTTTTTTCCAGATTTTTTTTCCGCGTATATATAAGAGAGATATTGTAAGGAGTCGCGCATATACTCGACGTCGCGTTGCCGGTTTCGCCGTAGCTGCTTTCTTACGCAGTTAAATCGAACGAGGTCGACGATTTCGCTACAGCAAGGAGACTGCGGGACGTGTGTTATTCTAGCCCGAATACGACGACGAGAGAGCGTACAGTGCCTTAAGTAACGCAAAAACGTAAGCGAGCGCTCTGTCCGTGAAACTTTATCCAACTTCTGTTGTAAGTAGCTTCTAAGCGACGTACCTTTCTTCCGTGGGGGCGTTCATAAACCCCGCGCGAGTGCTATAAATCGATTTTTCCCCGGGGTGGATAAGCCGTTGCCTTTACCTTCCCCTCTGTCTTCGCGCTCCTCTCTCAATTCTCTCCATTTTCTCTCTCTCTCTCTCTCTCTCTCTTACGCGAACACGAATAGGTCGACGCTAATAACGAGATCTTTAACGCGCTTCCCCCATTTATTTTCTTACGCGTGTCGTTTTTTCTCGTAATTTGCTAACATAATGAATAATAATGCCACGGCACGACAGCTCGTTCGATTGTGGCAATGTTTCTTGGGAGCGTAATAAGCAATGTTATCTCGCAAATGATTGTTTTATCGCGCATTGGAGTTATTAATTTCCTAACCGGCATACTTAAATTAATAAATTTTTCTTACGATGAATTTGACTTTATATTATACAAATCTCATAATCTGCTTTCTTCCATTATTTTATGGCCGGACCATAAAATATGTACCTTTTATTAAACTCTTACCTATTTTGTTTATTGTTTATCTCAGCTGTAATAAACCTTACAACGTAAATATTAAGCTGCGCAACAATAACAACGATATGTTCTTTAACTTTTCTGTTTATCCCGATCGTGTTGGTTGATAAACAATACCGGATAATCGATGAAAAACTGTTTCATATACGGCGCATACGCGTAATTTGGAGATTTATATGCGGATACAACATTTACCACGCACATCGACATAAAAGTCACGTCGTCCCGGCTTGCGCGTCATTAAGAGAGCAGACATCCAGAGAAGTCCGGAATTTAACGAGCTCCTCGGAAGGATCCGCAGTCTGGATGCAATTCGCTCGCGTGTCTCTTTTCTCTCTTCTTCCCTTCCTCCCTTCTCTCTCTCTCTCTCTTTTCTCTATCTCTTTCTCTATCTCTTTCTCTCTACGCATTACAGCACGCTCGCGCCGGATGCTAGTAACGAGGCTCATTTGGTGGCGTGCGCGCGCGACCAATGGCGCGACGGTATGGTGGCGGTATGGTGTCCAGCATCCAATAGCACCGCGCGTCATGCAGCTGTCAGTGTGGCCACGCCTATCGCCGATCCGCGCTGTAACGCGCATGACGCACTCGGCTCATCTCGCCAACACGCCGCATCGCCAGTCCCTTCTGGTGCGCGCGTGAGGAGAGTGTCTCTCTCTCGCGTGGCTGCGAGAGAGACGAATTACGGCCCCATTGATCCGCCGCCTCGAGACTGTGTCTCGTCCGAGTGATCTGGAATCGCGATCGGAATCTCTTTGAAAGACGATCTGGTGCGCGAGTCCAATCGTACAGTTCGACAAATTCGAGAGGAAGAGAAACGCGAAGAACCTTGGTTTTCCGCGAGCATCGTCGGTGTGTTCTTTTTTTTATTCGTGATAAGTATCCCGACAATGTATACTTTTCTCTCGCGTGCTGTGTATACGATGCGAGTCTAAACCGAGTGAATCGCACGGGTGGAATTTTCCGGCACACCCGTTTCTACGCGAAGGCGGGGTCCTCAAAGACTATTATCGAATCTTGTTCGAGAATCGGCCGAAGTGAATCTAAGAAGATTATCAACATTCTTAGCTCGCGTTGAAAATTTGCCAGTGCGTATTTCAGTGACTCATAGTATACAGAGCGAGAATGTGATTTCAGCAACTGAAAAATCGTTCTATCAAGGGAAGAGCGAGCGAGAGAGAGAGAGAGAGAGACCGCGCCATTGTGCGCATAAAAAATTGGTTCTACGCATAAGCGGCATTAAATTGTCGAATTCAAGAAGGTGGTAATTCTCGAAGGTGGAAGCGGTTTGATGACATTTTCGAGAAGAGGCGTCGATGGGATTAAAGGAGTGCGAGAGGGACGCACGTTAAGGCGCCTCTAATAATAGCGGCGCGCTCGCGAGTGTACCAAGCGATCTATAAATAGCGGTCTCTGGCCCCGTGGAAACACGAGCCCGTGGATTTCACGGTGCAACCTGTGTGCCCGACAGCGAAAACGGGAGAAAGAGCAAGCAATCGGCGAGAGAAGAAACTGGTCGATTCGATAGATTATCTATCGCGGGCACTGTATAATACACGGATCAATTTGCGGGACGGAAGAATTCTCGAGAAGAATGTGATTGGATTAACGATTGAACGAAAAGTATTTCGGAGAATGATCCCGAGCCAGAACGAGAAACGAAAATCGACAGAGGCAAAGCGAAGATTATCCGCGATGTGATTTAATTTTCGACTTTTGGAATCTACGATCTAAATATTTGCTGCGAACTATTATAAAAATATGTCAAACAATAACTAATTTGTGAACGAGAAATTCGGAAACAATCGACAAAGTTAAAATTATTTTGCTTATTCCTGACTTTTTAAGTGCGACTTGTGTTAGATCGAAAATCAGTGAGAAAGAAATAGAGATTCTCGGGATTTGAGACTTGTGAATCCAGCCGACCGTCGGCTGGAAGTTAATCGCGAGATTAACTTGATATCAAAGAAGAAATCGTTCTTTAGTAACGCCGGGGGATTCTTTTTTATTTTTTCATTGTGATTCTCTCGGCTCAATCGGCGCGATCCAAAGATACCGTACGCTAATCGTAAGATTTTTCACGCGATCCTCGTGACTGCAATCAGCGGAGATCGGAGGAACATCAAAGTGCAAAGTTGCGAACCGACGAGTATCGATGCCTTGGGAGGACATACGATCCTTTCGAAACAACCATCGACGATTTATCGGACGGATTGCGAAAAAACTCTACAGTGTCTTTTTTTCTGCTTACACAGTTACACAGTACAGTGCACAGTTTACGCAAATTTACATGCTTAATATTTAAAATTTATTAATAACGGTTTAAAAAAATTTAATTATATACACGTACACACAAGAGAAAAGAAAAGAAATATTTCGCGCGCGTAACGGTAATTAAGAGTCGACGCATTAAACTGGTGATTAGCTTTGACAAATAACATAATAAATGTGCTATTAATATATTACTTGGATCATCGAGTTACTTTAATTATTGCCTTACTTTTATCGTACGTGCTCCTCATCTTCATTGACACATCGTTACAAACTCGCAATTGCATCAAGATTCATCCAAACTATAATTAAACTCCAGTTATCAATCTTTTTAATCTTGCAATATTTATATTAAAAAAACATCTGGCCAGCTAAGTTTCTCCCGATCCTAAATCAAGACGCATCGCGCGATGTCCTCGTTCGGACGTTCCAAAAATTCGCAGTGATTCCGCGGAGGGTGATCGTCTGACCCTCGAAGATGAGCGGCGAGTGAGAGGAAGAGACGCTCCCCCTCGAGCGACGGGGACCGTCGGATCATCGACATCCCGCGTCCGGTCGCGAACGCCAAGCGAATAGAGGACGATCGTACGGTCAGCAGCACGGTGGAGAGCGGCGGTGCCACGGTGCGGGGGGTCGTGGTGGACCCCGGCGATGACACAGCCATGATGGCCTACGGTGGCACCGCTGGTAACGGGGGTGCGATGGGCTCGTCGGCGGGTGCTGGCGGCGCCGGTGGCACGGACGTTCTCGGTACCGCCGCCGGCGACTACAGCCCCCAGAGCACGCCCACGCCCTTGACCGGACACTCGACGACGAGCGGCACGGTGGAGAACGCTTATACACCCGGGACGACCGGGGCGGCCAGCTACAGTCCGCAGGACAGCCCGGCGAGCTCCGCCGGGGGCAGCGGTAACGGCCAGCTGCCGAGTTTCGGCTTCACGCAGGAGCAAGTCGCGTGTGTCTGCGAGGTAAGTCGTGTCGGGTCCGGTTTTTTCGTCAGAGACCCTCCGGTAAGATTCGCGAGGACGTTAACGAAGTAATACGGGAGATGAATAGCATCTCGAGAGATGCCCGAGGGTCTTTTAAAGGAATAATTGATTTTGATTTTGAAATAATTAAGATTATATTGCGTTTGACATAGCGCAATTTAAATTCGAATTTTGTTATCTCGTGACTTTTATTAGAGGGTCTCTAGTTGCTTGATACGCGCGCCTGTGTGTTGCCATTAGCCGCTCGCGTATCACGTTTAGAAAACATGCAGTCCACTGACATTCCGATTAAAGTCCAGTTTAAAGTATAAACATTTCTCGTAATACGATCACAGTAAACGCTAATATATACGAATCTTGACAATATTAATAGAAAATGTAACATGATGATTTCTAGTTGAGTTAAATACATTGAATATTTTGTTCACGCTGTAAAAAGGACAGCGTTGCTCTTACAATTTTATTGCATTATATGAACAGAAATAAAAAAGGACTGTGTTAATTGAAAATATTGCATATGTTCCCGACGCATAGAGTTGATGAGCGGTTGATGGCGAGTTTGATTAGCATCGCTGCATTTTTCTCGGCGAAATAACACCGGTCGATTTGTAGTTTTTCCAAATTTAAGAGCAAGATGATCTAATTTTGATTACTTACGACGAAACGCGCATTGAATATCGCAAAAACTCTATTTCGTTACAAGTTTTTTTTTTTAATGTTGGATATTCTCGAATCATGCATCTCTTCGAGCATAATTTTCATCTTATTTGATCATTTTTCTAAGTATCTATTATTATTGCGATATAATTTTATGTTCTTCTTTCTTTCCTTATATATATATATATTTTTTTTTTGTTACATGATTATTATATGTATATTTAATATTCGAAAAAATGTGCTATCGCGCGCGTAGATGTTTCATAAAATATTAAGTAAAATTATATATATATAATATATTCGTATGCGCGGATGCCCAGTGTCATCGCATTAACTGTCATTTAATTAAAAATATGAAAACGGCGGAGATCTTACATCGCCGCGATGATGATATTGTCGCCGCGACAATGTGGTCGTTATATCGCCGACAATATGCAGCGTTATGCGCCAAGATTTGCTTGCATGTCGCATGCTTAATGGAATTTGCACGATTTTACTGTAACCGTAAATTGTTTTGCGCGCGACGTTTACGTCCCCCATATCGAACGTCCCACGTGTTAATTCATCCTGTTCGAAAGAGAGAGAGAGAGAGAGAGAGAGAGAAAGAGATGATTTTCACGAAGATACTTCCCGCATACGCTTGGCAAAATTCTCATTAATTCTTCATTGCACACTTGTCAAGTTGCATTTGTCAAAACGCAGCCTCGAATTATTCATTTGTGAAGATTGTCGATATTAATAAATATAAAATGAATATCTTACGCGAATTTAATAAATTAATTCTTGCATTAAAATCGTGTTATTTACATTGAAAAATATAATCAAGATTTTTTTTAACGATATGTTATATGTATTTTATTTTATCAGTTATATATATAAACATTGTTTGGTGAAAGAAATTTATATATGCTTTTTAATCCAACGAAAAACATTTAAAATATATCTCGAGTTTTGAAATGTCCCTTGGATGTCTTCTGGATTTTTGAGTTATTTGTTTGATCTATTTAGTTTGGGATTTTTTATACCGTGATAATGTATATCAGAAATTATTTTTTAAATTAGGCACGAGGAGGTGAAAGTGTTTTATTCGCGAACGATTGCAACGTGCGACGATTTTCACACGCGGATCAACGCATGTGACCATTATAAGATAATAATCGACTGTGTGTGAAGAAAGATAAGTTTGCCAAACGCGAAAGTAATCGATCGCACAAGGCGTTTTTGCACGTGCATACCCCTCTGTATGTGTGTGCGTGTGCTAGCGCTATAATTAATATGATTATGCGGCTAGACTTTAACTCCTTGCCCACGTCGCACAGAAGGATTACGATGTAGAAAATTTGCGAGTGAATTTATTTTATAGACTGTCTTTCTTTCGGTTAGCATAAGATGCGACCTGCGAAATTGGGTCGCTATCGCGTATCGATCTGTTCAAAAATATAGTGATTGTTGCCATATTTTCTGTGACACGTGGGCGCTAGTTGTCTTGTATCATTCGAGGTATTATTCATCGATAGATCTTCGATAGATTTTCGAAGCATAAAGGAAATCGTTTCACCGAATGTCGACCGATTCTATTCGTTCGATCTCGAATCCCGACGAGATCAATCGTATATTTGAGAAAAAGGGAAATGGTTGAACTGAATAATTTTCTCCTCATTCTCAGGTTAGATTATTCTAGAACATTGATTTCTTTAAATCCCAGTTTTAGTAGCATTAGTTCAATATATTCAATTTAATTCGGATTTTTTTTTTCTTTAATGTAATTATAAAATTATAATTCTTTAAATGTTTACATTCATCGAATATCCGTATAAATTATTAATTACGTACCATACATATTAATGCATAAAAATTATATCCAAAATTCGGTGAAAAGATTGAAGATGATGCTTTTTAGCATAATCACCTAATAAATCTGAAATGAAGAAAACGGGAAAATTTTTGGTTTTAGAATGTTTTTTTTTTTTTTATATTTATTTTTATATGTATAACGCGTATCATATCACAAAGTTATTCAGTTCTAGAAGAAAGTGGAGTGAAATTGCGCGATTTCTGATCGCGGTAACTGTATTAGTTGCAGTTAGTCCGATCTCGAGATCTATGTCGTATATTTCTCTTCGCTCTCGGTGACATGACATTCATTTCTCATTATGCCACGCGGCCAAGATTAATCGGCCGTACCGCGAAAATTCGGCGACATCCGGCGACGACGGCGAGCAGACAAAGATGACAGGTGTACAGAGCTCATATTGCCAATTAAGCGGTGATTAAGGATTCATCCGCGTACGATCGGCAATGTCTTAATTTCGTGTCAGTACTTTCGTAGTAATTAATTTTGCGCGCTAGAGAGAAATTTACACCACTTCTGACAGTCGGTTAATCGTAAAGTAATTTTATGCTACATTGTTTGGATAAATTTTTTTAGAGAACAGAGAAACGAAAAAAACAAAAGAATAGAGAACAAAAGCGAAAAATTAAATTTCTTCTCAAGCAAAAAAATATAAAAGATTTAGATATAAAAATTTAATTACATAATATTATTGAGAGAAATATAAAAGGATGCCAAAAATATGTGATAAATCTATATAATTTGTATTTATATACTGAAAGATGAACGCGAATGATATATAATTTGTGAATGCACAGAAATTTCTTTTTTTTCATTATACATATAAAATTTATATTGTATTATTATTTATATTGTAACGTGTATCGATTTTATACGATAGAATACCGCGCTTTTAAAAATCAATTATGTGTAAATTAAAAATACGTAAGACAGTATTTAGACTGGCGCAATACATGGCGCATGATATCGAATATAAACGTCACTGACACGATATATGCAGATATTGGCAAATAGATAATAGATTTCTCAAGCAGAATTCACGATGGTTATTTATGGTCACCGCAAAAAATAACACAATTTGTGTTGATGAAATAAACTGAAGTATACGACGGAATATCGATATATAGTTCCGTTTAAAATCGTATTATGCGAAAACTTAAATTCATTAGTGATTCTTTCAAGAATTAAAAAAAATGTATCGTATCAAAAATGTACCAAGTGTAGCGTTTTATTTATACTAGTAATAAAGTTCTATTAAATTGCAACTTTTGAAATTAAATATGTAACAATTTATAAATTTTTATTCGATCAAATTTCATTATTATAGATTTTTTGTGATTCCGTAGCTTTGAATTATAATTTTATTACGTACATTTATTATTGTAGAAGAAGTCTATAAACTAAATATACACAATTTTCGCTCGTGATTATTGATTCTAACATTATCTTGATATAGAGAATTATATACCGACTGTCTGAAAATTCATGTGTATATTCTAAATAATTTATGGAAATACATATCAGTTTATTTTAATCGCTCTGGGACACGAAAATCATTTTTGCATGCTCGCAGAAATTCGATTAATTGAAATTCGTGATATGTCGGCATAGGAGATAGACATCCTGATTTATCCACTCCTTTGAACTTAATATTTGATATTTCAATCTTCATTTAATATTGAATCTCATCCGGTTGAAATCTTAAATTTATATTTATATTCATATTCATGCCTCCTTGAATTATAAACAGTATTGAGAAAATACTTATTATGTAGATAATTTTGTAATTTTATAATCTAGCAATTCTTTTAAATTCATTGTTTTTATAAAAAAGGTATAAATACTATTTTTTTTTTTTTAAATATCTGTAAAATTCAAATAATTTTACATCTTCTTTATTAATGAGATTCTTCAAAGATAAGTGATACTGGTTTTGTTAAAAAAAAAAGAAAGAACCGAACGTGTGATAGATGTAATACAGATCTCCACTCTAGCTAGTTTCGGTGAAAAAAGTTATTCCAAGATTACAGAGTTGAACAAAACTCAATCCGAATAATCGTCGTTTGAAAAAAGAATTAATAGTTTTAAATATAAGTTTCATCTGAGAAAAGATCAATTTAAAAATTCACCATTTTTTAATTTTCCCGAAATTTTCCAAAAGATAGATTTTTTCTTACACACGGTTTTCATCCTAATTCTTAATTCCCTCAGTCACGCGAAAATAGTCCGACTGATTAATCTAGATAATCGCTGTCCGAGTCGTCTTTCTTGAAACAAAACGCTCAGCTCTAAGAGAGGTGAATGCGAGACATATACAAGATACACTAGAATAAGAGGAGACCCGGGATGAGTTTTGCCGACTAACAGTGTGCCCCCCCTGTCTATCGTCTTCAAGGCGATGGTGTCGAATGTCCAGGTTCTCCAGCAGGCAGGCTCCGTGGAGAGGCTCAGCAGATTTCTCTGGTCCCTGCCGGCATGCACCAGGTTGCATCGGCACGAGAGCGTCCTCAAGGCCAAGGCGATCGTCGCCTTTCATCGGGGCCAATTTAAGGAGCTCTACAGGATCCTGGAGAGTCACACCTTCAGCCCGAACAATCATCCCAAACTGCAGGCCCTCTGGCTCAAGGCCCATTACATCGAGGCTGAGAGGCTACGTGGCAGGCCCCTCGGCGCAGTCGGTTAGTAAGAATCTTTTAACGATCTTCCCATTTTCTATATTTTACTTACGAGAGTGATGCGACTGCAAATCGCTCTTAATAATATCAATCTACTCGATTAAGCATCTTTCATTTTTAGCAATAATTGTTAGACTTGCGATGAAAAAATGTTTTCGTTGATCTTGAGATAGTCTGATAATAATGAGAGATATAGAGGATAGATAAATTAATTGTTCAACATCAGATAGATTAAAGGATTCTTGAAAGCGCAAGCATCATTCTCTGCGTTGATCGATTATTTTATTAAAGTATACAAAAGTCAAGAAGAAAATATGAATGTAGATATAAAAACCGAATTTTTCATCAAACTTTCTGTATACGAACACATATGAAGATACTTTATTCATTTTATTACTGTATTCATTTCAAGATATATGTGAATTTATCTATATTAAAGTTATAAGTAAAATTTCTAAGTAAAATTTATATAGTACACAATATATTATATTATTGTATTTGTAACGTATAATTTTAGGAATAGCGTAATTATACTAAATATATATGTATATATTTGTATTTTCTCTTATATTATCGCCCGAAATAATGTAGGAGAAATATATATATATATATATATATATATATATATATATAATAAGAGAAATATATTATATTACTAAAACTTAACAGTTATATCATATAATATCATATAAATAAAGTATATATATTTGATATATATTTTTTATATATATATAATACATACACATATATACAAACTTCCATGGACATGGAATATTATTTCGCGTATTAAACTTACTTAAACAATATCGGCGAGCGGCGTTTAAATCTCACGTTGTGTGGGTGTGCCACGTTTATTTTCGCGCTAATGTTTATTGCACGCGGCGATTAATAACACGCGCTCGGCGAGGTGAATTGAATGCCGCGCACACGTTTTCAACATTAACGGACGGCCAAACGGAGTAAGTTATTACCGAATGCAATTCGAGCTAATGAGCGGTATAGACTTGGCCCTATTTTCCTCGCCCGATCTTATTTGCGAGCGACGCGCGCGTGAAGCCGTCGACGCCGCCAACCCGTTGCGCTCGTCCCAGAAACCAAATCCGTCCCCGAAAAAAGAGAAGCTAAACAACAAAGCGCGCTTCTCTGCGCGTATGCTAAGAGAATCAAAGTGCACGGTTCGTCGCCGCTTCCTCTTCCGTTCTTCCCGTAATTTCGCGATCGCGATACGATTTCTCTCCCATTCATCAAGATATATAAAATTTTAAAATGTATTAAAAATGTTTATCTTTTATTTGCGCGACGATATTCTGGATCTTAATTTCGAGATAAGGATGAAATATGCCAGCGAGACGTTTAATCCATACTCTTATTAATTCAACCGCTTCTGATCTTGATTTATCGATAGATTAATGGACGTCATTTCTTTCTTTCTTTCAGGAAAGTATCGAGTGCGCCGTAAGTTTCCGCTACCGCGCACTATCTGGGACGGCGAGGAAACGTCTTACTGCTTCAAGGAAAAGTCGAGGAGCGTTCTGAGGGATTGGTATGCCACCAATCCGTATCCGTCGCCGCGCGAAAAGCGAGAATTGGCGGAGAGCACTGGCCTCACTACCACGCAAGTCAGTAATTGGTTCAAAAACCGGAGGCAGAGAGACCGTGCCGCCGAGCATAGGTGAGTCTTTGATATATCAAAAACTTTTAATTTCTAGTTAATTAAATCGTCAACGGAGTTGATGCTATGCTTTTCAAAAAAAAAAAAGAAAACTAGAACGAAACCGCATTCTGAAAAAATTCTCTTAGAACAAAGGCACGTCGATATATACATCAAAAAAATATAATTAGCTAAAAATAATGATAAATCCAACTCTCTGTGAAAAGGATTATAAATATACCAGAGAAACGTTGCAAGCGACGAAGTAGCCATTGAAGATAGAATTGAACTTCTCTTTTCTGTCACGTATGTCCGCGTCTTTTATTATAAAATTTAATTATATTAAAAGCTGTTATCATTGAATTATTTTATTAAATAAATTAAATAGAATAATATTAAATCACACGCACGGGCAGGAACGATTCTCGAAGTATAAATGATACGCAGTTGATGTAATCAGTAAAATTTATTGATATGAAAGATTAGATTAAAATTTCTGACATAACAAACAACCGTTTTATTAGATACTTCGTCAGATAAACAACATCCAGCGATGTCTTTAAGGGTCCAATGGGGCGTCGGTAGTTGTGTAATTGAAGAACGTTATAGCGTGTGGAATTTTCGTCTCTGCGCGGAATAGGAACGCCCGCCGTAGAAGAGAGTCCCCGTGTTGTTTGGAAGGTCGTTGCTCTATATCCGATTTTAGAAACGAGCGGAGGCCCCATAACTATGTGCGTAACGCGATGCCTTCCGCCGCGTAGCATCGTGTCGCATGCATGCTCGCGCGAGCCGTCCTTTTCTTCTCTCTTTTTCCCGCGAGCGAATAATAAATAAATAACTACCAGCTCGGCCATCTGGCCACGCTGACAGAACCGCCAATCTCTCGTGAATTCTTTCACGTAACTTGGAATGTGAATGGCAAAATGATGGCAATCGTTGGAAAATTGAATAATACGCTAAAGCATGACTATTTTATCGGTTGGCTGATAAACGAGCGAAATAGATATAAATGTTTAATAAGGACGTACCGTTTTAAATTATCATATATTAAGATATAATTTTACAAATTTAATTTACAAATGCAAAATTTGCTTGTCTTTTTTTTTCAACGCTCTCTTTTCTTCGTAAATTAATGTATCCATTGTAAAATAAAAAAGAAATTATAATTTTTCTAATGGATCAAGTTGAGATAAAGAAATTTGATATTAATAATAAATGATCGTGTAATGTAATATTAGAGTTATTCCACATTCTTTCAAGATCGATCTATATAAAGTAATTCGTTATAATAATTCGGAAAAGCAAACATGCGAAAGAGATCACGATCGAGTAATTAAATGTTTTATAATTATTTCGATATTGGGGTAGTATGAAGATATGAATATTTTGTAGAATTTTCTGTAATTAATATGCGGTGAATGATACGCGTATATTCGCGATACCCTCCCAAACCTATCGAATAGAAATTCCATCAATGTGAACAATCTATAGAATATTCCTAAGTGTCTATAGTAAATTTTTGGGTACGAACTTTTAACCTGGAATTAATAATGTTTCGTGTTCAGCCTTGACAAATAATCAGTTGAATTTGCGCAAAGCAAACATATCTCTTACACAAATAAGAATTTCTACCAAATTAATGTAACAGTAGTACACAATCCTTTTGAATCATAGTTTCAAAATCAGTAGAATCTCATTCAGTTCTAATTTAGATCATTGAAAATTAATATTACATTTACTTTCGGCGAGGATACGGTTTTCATAATAATATTAAAAATTGAATTTTAACTCATCGACGATCTCGAATGTCATTGCGTTTTGATTCTGCCAACGTTAATTCGCAAATATCTCGTACGCATCTCTGACCTCCTGCCTCTGTCCATGGGAATACACAGAAGCCATAAGAAATTCGATACGTTCCCCGTGGCATGACGTGCGCTCTGCCACGGTGGTGCTTCCCACTTCCTCCCTCACGAGAAGACATCGTAACCACGATTCGTATGGATCTACGTATCCTTCGATAAAGACGCTTTGTGCGAACACTCCTGTTAATATATGATCAGCAGAAAGATTGAAACACATTTAGTAGACAATATTCTTCTATGAATTTATGTCCATGGACCAGTCATGGTCGCACGTGATAATAATCATAATTTTTAAAACATTAAATACACTAAATGTATCGATGATTCATCAATACATCCACACAGATCTATGTACTTCAAATATTATTACTATTGACTTGCTCGGCAAGTTTGCCTTGTTTATGTTTTTTATTTCATATATATTTCATAAATAGAAATGAAATAAAGTCTTTCGGAATAATTCAATAAAATATTAACGTTTTGATTGCTGTTATTATTACGAACGAATCTGCTAAAGATCGCTTATGAAATGCTAAAGGAGTTTCAATCATTTTGACGTTAATTGTAGATTCACTGAAATAGACATTATGCACAATACAAGTTATTTATATATTACTTTTCAATTCGCGTTCTGTCAGGCTCGCTAGGGATACTGAAAATCCTAAGAACGGGTCTAAAAAATTTTACAGTGAACTTTGTCTTTGTTTATAATTCATTATTTATAACAACGGAATAATAACTTAAAAGGCTGTAATTATTTGCCTATTTAAGGCACACGTGCTGTCGGAAATTAAGTCGATCTCGCACACACAGGGGCGATGTTTCCCTCCCCCGGGACAGGGGCGTCTCGTGGGCGTCTACAGCAGGCAAAAAACGTCAAATACGGGACTGTAGTCTTCCCCCGGGAGCTGTTATCGAACGATTTAACTATCTCGTTTGAGCACGACACAACGCGCACGCACGACGAAACGCAGACTATGACCGTAAAAAAAAAAGCGAAACGAATTTTAAGAAATGATAAATTAACTATGTATAATTTATATAATTTGAAGGAACAATATTTCATTGAAGTTTCATTTATTTATTGAAGTGATAAAGAATGGTTAATTTTGGATATGAATTCTGTCACGTAATGAGGATTGAAAGGACCAACAATAATGAATATATAACAATAATGACAAAATAATTACAATCATAACAAAATAATTACGAATAACAATAAATTAGCAGCATTAATTTCCAGATCAAAATTTAATTCTCATCGCTTTCTTTTCTTATAAATTGTTTATATGTCTTAACCGTATATAATTACAATGATAAAAATTTAAAAAGATTGTATAGCAATTTGAATAAAAATTGCATATGCCCTTTACTGTGATACGTAACTGTCAAATGAATTGGTATTTGTAATTGATTCTGATTATAGACCCACGCGTATCGACACACTCGAACGGAAGTATATAAGATCGGAATCGCGTTAAAGATAAGATCGGGTATATATAAACACCGTGGATTCTCGAAACACCCGTAACATCGTTCGCTTAATCTCCACATGACTCTCGCATTCTCGTAACGAACTTTAAACAATGAGACGTCAATCGAGATAAATCCCGGATGATATGTTTTGCATACCGAAAAAAATCGAGCGATAAGAGGGAGGAACGGGCCCCATTTTCTCTCTCTCTCTCTCTCTCTCTCTTTCTCTCGGTCCCACAATTATCAGCGCGATTATTTACGCCGGCCGAGCCAGATACAGAGTTGTCAGCATCCTCCACGCGGCGAAGTGCATCCGCTGCACTTTGAGAAACGCACGAGGCAAGACAACGGCGACGAGTCACCGATCGACGGGGTGCGTCAGCGGCGACGGCGTCGTTGCAGTTGCTGCATCGCTGCCGACGATAACGGAACCGCTGTCGCCGTTCTCGGTACTCGGTATCCGGTGACGGTGGAACGTGCGTGTATCGTCCAAACGCGAGATAACGCGCGTTGATGCTGATTAAGATGATCAGCGCCGCCGCCGCCGCCGCCGGATAATCCGACTTGCTCTCCGCGCGCGCATCTCATCGCTTCTCGAAATTTTCCGACGTACGTCGGTATCGCGTTGCAGCACGGGGGGCAAGGGGCTAATTCTGCGCTACCAGTTCGTTGAAAGCTTACTTTAGTCTCGATTAGGCTAAAAATAATATAAATAACAAAATGGAGGATGCACAATGTGTGCGGCACTGATTACATATGATTTAACGTATTTTTGTACTTCGAGAGTCTCGTACCTAAATTATAGAAAATTAACGTATATAATCGATAATATGTGTATAGCGTACGTTACCGCATTTCCTTTAATGAAAATTACTTCTTTAAGCTTTTTTTTCTCTAAACGATACAAAAAAGATCGGCCAGCGTGATGGTTTATTGCAACGGATATAAAAAGTGCCGGATATTAAAACTGGCCGTGTCGCTCTTGAAGATTGAAGAGCATCCGAATTTTTTTTTTTTCGTTTTTCTTTTTTTTTCGAATATCGATTCCATTGCTCGGCTTGAAAAATAAATGCCGCGTGTTTCACGTTGGATCATTTTTTTTCTGCTTCGAACTGCGCCACGCTATATGTCACTTAAAATGTGTCGATTTCGATCGTCGAAGTGAAAAACAAAAAAAAACATAGAGTGGAGAGGAGGGCGAGGGGGAACGGATGCTGGCGTATCCGCGAGTGCATTGTGCCTTCATTCTTCACAGTCGAAAATAAACTCCCGGCCGCACGCGCTGGTCGCACTGTGTATATTTTTTTGCTCTTTCTCTCTCTCTCTCTCTCTCTCTCTCTTTTTCTGTTTCTCTACGAGAGCGGCCGCGTTTGTATATATATATGGCGCTTAAAACGTCTTTATTACTGTCGCGCTAGTCTCGTTGATAGAAAGTCGTGCCACAATGATCTTCGAAGGAATCGCTCTGACAGATTTAAGAACAATAACGCATGGTGCTGGAGATAAATAGAGCAAACCTTCCCTCTCCACGGACATAAAACTTTTCTCCGATTTATTATTCTTTGGCCGAATTATTTAGCTGAGATTAACAGTATTAAAACGAAAAAATATTCGAACTATTAAAACACGCTTAAATATCAAAACGCGATTTCTGATAAATGAGATGAATGATTTTATTTT